TTAAAGGGAGCTGGCCGAGTAGACAGCCTGGTGTGCTTGCCTCGGGTGATCACCTGGGTCCACTCAATGAGTGGAAGCGGGGGAAGTGCAGCAATGAAGAGACAGGCTGAGTTTACACATGTTCCATTGGCACCTGCTGACTTAGCTCTCAGAGGATAGGGATGAGAGAGAGAGAAAGGGCTGACTAGGCAGAAGTGCCAGCTGTGTAGACTCCTTAGCTTACAGGTGGTGCCTGCTGACCTGGCCCATAAAGGCTAGGGATGAGAGCGAGAGAGCGAGACAGAGAGAGAGAGAGAGAGAGAGAGAGAGACAGAGAGGGGGCTGATTAGTCTGAACCTGACTTGGTGAGTGGCAGAGCCTGCCCTTGAACCCAGGTCCGACTCCACAACTCAGTAGTCCCCGCTAAACAGACCACAGAGCAAGAAATGGCAACGGCTAGTTTCCAGGACATACTTTTATTTTTATGGAGCAGCGGCCACACAGCCACAGGGACATAAAATGTTCTGGACAGTAGGCACAGTGCCTGTGGCTGGGGAGACTCATGCCCTCCCCCTTGGTCCCCATGATCAAGGAAAAAAAATAAAATTCACACACCATACACTTCCACACCCACTCCTCCCAACTCCCTCCTTCTCCTGCAGTAATAACCCAATTAAATGACTCATCCTTCCAGCCCAAGAAACTGGCTGCAACTTGATTTTACAGAAAACCTTCATGCAGTCAATTAACTGGTGGCTCTAGAGGGGAGAAGACTACTTTTCCCTCCCACATGCACTCCCCCAGCACCAAGTTTAACTCCTTCTGAAACCACTGCACCCACAGTGACGGGACTAGGTGCACGAAGAAGCTGGTAACTCAGCTCACCATGCTGGGAAGATAGCCTCTTTCCAAGTAAGACATTATTGGAGCAAAACATTAACCTGAGGTTGGCATGATCCCAAAATACTTTCCCTTCCCAGCCCTAGGGCTCTGGGTGAGGTCTGCAGAGAGCAGGATTTTGGTTTATAGGACTAAGAGTGACAGAGGCTGCTGGCGTCTCTGGCCACACTCGGTGGCTTAGGGATGGTGGCTCCACTGGGGAAATGATGGAGCTTTGACTGTTGGGTTAATCGAGCTGGTGGAAACCATTCTTCTACAGCAAGTAGAATCATCAGTTTAGCACCAAGCGAGGAAGCACATGGATCCACTAGGAGAGCTAATGCTACAATTCACGTGCTTTGCACACAAGCTAGGGAATGAGGTTATTTTTTTCTTATGCCCCCTCTAGAGGCCAAATGGGTAAGGGCAGTTCCTTTACCTTCTGAGAGCCATGGATGTACCCAGCACTCATAGGACCAGAGGTTAAGACACTTTGCAGAGTGTGCCAAGCCCTGGGTGGAATGAGAGAGCATCCTTCAGTCAAAACATGACTTTAAGAA